AGTACCTCTTTGAGAAATAAAGTAAATGAGGTATGATACCACAAAGCTTGTTCTTAGTGGATGTTACTTTCTACAATAGTAATCATGACAATTAAGTTCAAGTCTATTTTTTAGAGTAATAGTGCAGTTTCTGAGTTTGATTTTTTTTTAATCCTTATAGCTTGCAGAATAGTGTTATAGATGAACAACTTAACACTGCTATAGATGAAATTATAAGACCATCATGGACGTTGAACTCCAAAGTAGTTTCTTTATTTATTTTATATCTAACCACTATTGCAGTCTGTAAGGAAGTCAACTGATTGCTTATGTTCTCATGGGTTGTGCTGGAAGTGTTAATATTTCTTTTTAAGGTGTAATATTGGATTCTAATGGATTCCAAGTTTTACTCAAATCGGAAGATGCTAGCATTAATCTAGTCGATTGGAAGATTCAAAAGGGTGTTCTTTGTGCTATATTCTTGCCTCGAAAGTTTGCCCATGCACCTTGTATAACTCGCTAATCCTCTTTCTCTTTAATCAAAATTGTGTTTTAATAAGTTTACAAAAACAATTTAGTTTACTGATAAGCATAAGAAGTTATTCCAAGTGTTTGTGTGATACCTAAGAAATAATTTATGACATGTCTATCAATAGTTTTTGTTGTGAATTGATGTCGTCAAGAACAAACCAAAATATAAAAAAAAGATTGAGTTTTTTTTAATAAACACAAGAAATCCTATTAGGTTTAACAAAAGATAGAGAAGAAGGAAGAAGAAGAATAAGATTTGGTTGAAACTGTTTTACTATTTACTTACTTAATAAGGGTTCAAAGATTACAAGTGATTACCAACAATTAACCTCTATCAACAACCTGAGAGAACTAGTCTATTTATAGACTACTAAATCAACTTAGGCTACAAGCTAACTTAACAATTGGGTTTAGAAGCAAGGGCAAATTCGGCATGCTAACTTAAATTACAAGTTAATATATTTTGACATTATCCTTATACAGACTTCGGCTACAACATACACAACTCCTGTCAAACCATGAAGTTACCATTATGCTCTATAACAAGGGAACAAACTATATTTCATCATGCATTTTTATCAACTGTATACAGCAAAAAAACTTACTACTCGGCAATGTCTTGTTTCGACTCCTCATAACTTTCTTATAGTCTCTAAGTTCTTCCTCCAAAACCTCACTTGTAGAGATTAAAACATAAAATATAAGATCTACATAACCAAGTCTTTGAGGTGGCTTGATAACTCTTTTCGACCTGTCATTTACTAGCAGGTAGTCATTATCAGTCTCCTCGTCTTCATCAGCAACTTGAGATTCTTCTTTAACTTCATCTGGGTTATGTAATCCAGCATCACTATGCTCCACCTACACGGGAATCTCTTCGAATTCTAGCTCTTCTTTAAAGATCTTCGAACTTCAATCAATGTCATCAGTTTTCTTGAAAGTCATCTCACCTTCATTTAAAACTACATCTCGACTTATGATACACCTCTTGTGACCTGGCTTTAGGCACCACAACCTATAAGCTTTGACTCCTTATGGGTATCCAAGGAACATACATCTCAGAGCTCTAGGTTCGACCTTATCTTGCCTAATATGAGCATAGGCTAAACAACCAAATACTCTAAGTATGTTGAGACTAGGTGGATATCCTAACTAGACTTCTTCAAGTGTATTCATTCCCAAGGTTGTCCAGGGACACCTATTTATTAAGTATGTTACAGTTACAACAGCTTCCGCCCAAAACACCTTCTTCAATCCCACACTTACAAACATGTACCTCACTCTTTCCAAAATGGTTCGATTAAACCTTTTAGCCAAAACATTTTGTTGGTGATTCCCTGCAGTAGTTTTATGTCTTGCAGTACCATACACAACATAATAGATGTCGAAAGTCTCATTGCAAAATTTAAGACTATTGTCAGTCCTCAACCTCTTAACCTTTCTGTCAGTTTGGTTTTCGACCAAAGTCTTCCAATTTTTGAAATTTTTAAGAGTTTCATCCTTAGTTTTCTCGATGAATACCTATAACTTGCTGGAGTAATCATCAATTATGGATAGAAAATACTTTGCACCTGAGTGTGAAAGATTTTTTGTAGGTCCTAAAAATCAGCATGAATATAATCAAGAGATCCATGTGTTCTTTGTTTGCCTTTATTAAACTTCATTCTACAGGATTTACCAAATACATAAGGTTCACTAAACTCTAGTTTTTCGAACTTGTCACCACCCAACAGATTTTGTTTCGACAATTCGATTAGGTCTTTTTCATTGACATGGCCAAGTCTCTTGTGCCATAGCTCAGTCTTCGACACAGGTTTTGTGGAAGCCACATCTGCTGAACCACTTACAACCTCAGCCTCAAGGGTATATAAGTCTTATTTCTTCGCGCCTCTCAATACTTCCTTCAACCCCTTCATTACCCTTAGGATGTTTTGCTCTCCTTTGAAAACATATCATTTCTTGTCGAATTCACCAAGAGAAGTCAAATTTCTCTTAAGATCAGATACATACCTAACATCAGTCAATAGTCTTATTGACTCATCATGGAGCTTGAATCTCACAGATCCAATACCTGCAATTTTGCAAGCTTTATTATTTTCCAGCAGAACTGATCCACCATCTTGATCATACAATTCTTCAAACACGTCTTTGTTTGGAGTCATGTACCAAGTACACCTTGAATCCATAATCCACTCTTTTCTAGAGTCGCTGCTTGAAACCACCAGGATATCAGATGATTCATAACCATCTTGCGATGGTTGTATTACCATTATCCTTTCCACCATGAATGTTTAGTCGATCAGGGCATACTTTTCTTGTATGACCCTCCTTCTTACAATGATAACACCTAATAGTAGAAGTATTAGCATCATAAGAACTTTGTAGAATTTACCCTTCTTCTTAAACCTACCAACTTTCTTCAAGTATTTCCCCTTAACGGACAAACCTTCACCAATAGAAGATGACTTGTGCTCCGTTTGTTCGTTCAAATCCTTAGAGTACAAGGCAGATTGAACATCTTCAAAGGTCAAAGATTCTCTTTCATACAAGAGAGTTTCTTTGAATGAGCATGAGACTTAGGTAAATAGTACAAAAACAACAACACTTGATCTTCATCATCAATCTTAACCTCAATATTTTCAAGATCAAGATTTAACTTGTTGAACATATCCAGCTGCTCAGCCAAGGCTTTGTCTTCACTTATCTTGAATGAATACAAAGCTTGCTTCATGTAGAGACGATTAAACCAACAATTTCGTCATGTATAAGTCTTCAAGTTTCATCCACACACCCTCTACAGTTTTATCCTTTGAAACCTGTCGGAGAACCTTATCACCAAGGCTCAATACAATGACATTATGGGCTTTTTCGATCACCGATGTCTTCTCCTTTTTCGATAGAGAAGCGTCGATTTCCTCTGATCCTTTCAATGCTTATAACAAACCCTGTTGAATAAGAATGACTTACTTCTTCAAGCGCCACAAGTCGAAATCATTCACACCAGTGAATTTCTCAATCTCATACTTTTTGATGACATCTTTTCTTCCACGCTCACCGCACCAGTTTGTTGTGAATTGATGCTGTCAAGAACAAACCAAAATATGAAAAAAAGATTGATTTTCTTGAATAAACACAAGAAATCCTATTAGGTTTTACAAAGGATAGAGAAGAAGGAAGAAGAATAAAATTTGGTTAAATTTATTTTACTATTCACTTACTCAATGGGGGTTCAAAGATTACAAGTTAATACCAACAATTAACCTCTTTCAACAATCTGAGAGAACTAGTCTATTTATAGACTACTAATCTAACTTAGGCTACAAGCTAACTTAATAATTGGGCTTAGAAGCAAGGCCTAATTCGACATACTAACTTAAATTGCAAGTTAATATAAATAGACTTCGACTACAATATACACAACTTCTGTCAAACCATGAAGCTTCCTTTGTCGACATTAGAGTTCGATTCAAATAGCATAGTTTTTTACTTATGAAAAGTGCTTTGTAGTTATATAAAAATAATAAAGGGTTAATTAATGTGTATATACAAATTAATTCATTCTTTGCTTATGTTTACAATATAATTAAGGTTCATTTGTTCTTGTTGGACTTTTATTTATGTACTAATATAATAGGAGAGGTAGTAGAGGTTGGACCACAAGTCAAGAATTTTAAAGTTGGTGGCAAAGTTATCGCAAAACTCACACATGAAGTACTCATCTCTTTCTTTCACTCTCTTTGTTTATTGTTTTTCATTTCTTTGTGAATTGCAACACAATTTCATGATTTGAATGATTTTCTAGTTTTTAGTATATGCTAGTTTATTAACATGTACTGAGGGACATATCTCAAAAATCCATGAGTCTATGGTTCTTGATAATGAAGCTCTTTATGATATCTCCTTTAGAACTCTCAAGTTAACCACTTTTAACTGTAAGTATTATTCCCTTTTCATGCGATCTAAATATCTCTTACATTTCTTGTTATTAGATATGAGATGTGAATGCGATGTTGACATTGTAGATGACTAAGAAGCTTCACATGTTAATGATTCTTTGATATTTTTGTTTAAGGAATTAATAGTTTGATCAACTAAATTATGATAAGTCTTAACTAGCGGCTATGGTTTTCTACGTGCATTTGTTTCAGGTAAATGTTTCTTAATTTTTATTTATTTAGTTAAATTAATTTTCTACTTATGCAGCTTGAAAGATGAATTAACTGTGATACTTGTTGAGGAATCATATTGATTGTTTCAGGATTTTTACAGGATTTATGACAATTTCTATCATTTCTATTATAAGAATGAACAAATTTATTTTTATTAAGATTAATTTGACAATTTATTCATCTATAATGAGTTTTTACTTGCATAACATAACATAACATAGTAACCAATATTACATTGTTAAATTAATATAAGGCAATAATGAATCAAGCCACAAGAATAATCATACACATATATAACCATCAATAAAATTTGAATTTAATTCAATGACGATCACCTAAATATTCAATTCTCTTATTCTTTTCCCTGTAATCCTTGATTTTTTTCACGAGTTTGGCCCAACCTTTCTTGCATGCACCAGCAGCCTTCACACTATGTTTAACAATGGATGTCTTGGCTTTCGTTGCTTTAACCTTAGCTTTCTTTGCTGTCACCTTTACTTTTTCTCCAAAATCTCCCATTTTTGAATTCAAAAGATGAATTCAAGGGAGATTTTTTCGTCAAGCAGGTGCAGCTTATTGAATAATGAGCAACATGAATATATGAACTCTACATGTTGTATTTATATGGTTTTTTGCATGCTTGTTTCCAACCTGTTATGACACATGTTTGACCAAGTCTTCATAGGGTTTTTATTTCTATGGTTAGCCTTTTATTTCGTTTGTTTCATGACTTCTCAGCCTAACATCAATGTAGTGTGTATATTCATTAGTCACTATGAGAATGGTATACGTTTCATGAAGGGGTAGTTGTGACATCTCAGAATGACAAGGGGTGGAGAGATTGTTGTGTACAAATTATGTTTAATTAGTGGCTCTTGGCATGTTTCTAAACAAAGAGACATAATGGATAACTTAAAATAGTTAATTGATAGTACTTATATTATAGGATTTTTTTTTCCAATAGTTTAAAACATAAGAAGTTCTTAATTAAATATTCTTGATTTGGAGGACTTGTGGGATGAGTTTGGGTGAGGATAAAATTATAGTTGATAAAAAAAACATGTGTTATGTTTTGAAAATTCTAAACATTCTAATGAATTTGTTGAAAGGTTCAAACACACTAAATTTTCATTAAGTTTTCATTGAATTTACTTTTATTATTATTATTGTAAGGGGTAAAGATGTGTGGGAGAGAAATAATAATGATAGGTTAATGATAGAATTAGAGTTTGAGTTAACTCAACTTTACAAAACCGACTTGTAAAGTGAGGGGTGTCACTTTATATAAATATTTTGTTAGTTCAATCTTTAACTAATGTGGGACTTGGATTTTTTCCAATAGTTAAAATAAATGGTCTCAAACAACCAAGTTGAATCTATAACAAATAAGATAAGATAAAAGACAAGAACATAAATAAACTTGTTTACCTGTTAAGTTAAATCGATATACTTTGTAGAAGAGTGAAATTCTTTGATTCACTATGCTTTAAAGAATTGTTACAAGAAATTTAAAAAGTTACAACAAAATAGTCATCCAAGTTTTCAAGAGCTAACCCTATTTTCTACCGAAATATTTCTCAATCTCTACAACTCTCTATATATGAATCACACAAGCACAAGGTGTTTAGTGTTTTCCATTCTCTTAGATATATACCTCTAATGATTTTTCAAATTCCAAGAAAACAATCATATGAATTTCTACTTTTCTCTCTCTATGTTTTCTTGGGATTGTTATCTTCTTCCTCTGTATTTTAGACTATATTCTGAAGGTTTTTAACACAATAATGATACATATACATATTTATAACTGTTGAAACTCAATAGATCAATAGAACTTTAACAAACCCAAAACACAACTATAATAAAAAAAATATCATAAATATGTTATAATATCTTTTTATATTAATTTAGAGTATTTTAAAGTATCACTTAGTTTCATATAGTATTTATAAGTATTTTAGAGTATTTATAAATTAATACAGAAGATGTTTATAATATTCTAATATTAATGAATAGACCGTTAACTATAATGACTAAGTCTGATACCCGCAAATCGCTCAGACCAAACTCGCCGCATGTTAGACTAAATCTGTCGTCCGTCGAAATCCCTGAACACCGTCACCGTAGCTTCAGTGTCATCGATCGGTAGTAGGACTGCCGCCACTACAACTTCTGACGCCGGTGTTGGCCGCCACCCGTTAGATTTCCCATTCGGCCACCACTTCTTTGGTCACAATTTGTAGTGTTTTATGGTGTTCTAATTTCTAACAATCTCGAAACTTGTTTTCTTTATCTTCATCACTCATAATTTTAAGAAATACTCCTATGTGTTAGTTTGGAGGTCAGTCTTCAATCTTAAGTAGTTAAGGATGTTACAAATGATACAAGAGTGAAAAATAAAATCTATTAATATTTTGTGGTTTAGAAATGAATTAGACTAAATGTTATGGATAGGGTTTGTACTTTTTAAAAAGTACATGATTGTGTGGTACCCCTGAGCTAATAGAGGTGACTAGAGGCCTTAGTCCCGTTGTGACTTTGGAGATTTGGTGGTTTCTTCAGCTATCTTTGAATTTTATTATCCAATTGTTGTACATCAAAAGTAAGTGTAAACTATCGTACCCAAAAGGGCTGGTTGTGTTTCAAATACAATTCAATAGTTTCTTTAATTCTAAAAATGTGTTGTTTAAATTTATGTGTTCGTGAGATAGGAGTAACAGAAAATAGATTGAACTTGCGATGACAAAAGTGAAAAAACTTCTTGAGTTTAGATGTCACCAGCCTCATCATGTATTATCATTGATCAGTAATATGTTTTTTCCCAGCTATTAATATCATTGCATGTTGCTTTCATCATATCACATATCAGAGTCAACGACGTGAGATTAAATGTATTACCTAATTGGCAATTTCTCAGACTATTAACCAATAAATATGATTAAGTTTCAACATTATATAAAGATATTAAACCTAAGCTTCAACTGTATATTGCTATCAATAATTTAGTATCAAATAAATGAAAGCTTGGATTTATTAATGACCATCACATACCAAGTCATACCATAAAAATATGTTTTAGGTAGCTAATCCAAAACAAACATTAAGAATGGAGAATCCATAAATATTAAAGCCTAAGTAGAATTATATAAAATTCCATGGTCGAAATCAATACATAAGTATAATGATAACTCCATCTAACCCCCAACAAAATAGAAATTAGTTATGCTCGCTCGTCGTAGCTTTACAATTGAGCCCTAGAAGAAAGAAGTTAAATAGTATTTGTTATGATGCCTCGAGTAGCGCTTATACCCTCAATCTTCCTCTTTTTTCCATGTTGTTGTGATTTATGGTATTAACCTAACTTTCTATAATAACTACCTCAAATCCACCAATGACCTCCCTATGAGTTAAATGACACCCATATTTATAGGGTCTGAACTGATATGATTGTTAAGCGCGTATGCCATATGCTCTTAGCACGCCTACTTTCTTCTTTGTTAAAAATGTGAAGTCATTTTGAACTTACCTTTGCCTCCTTAGCTCTCATATGCACCACCTATCATTTCCTATGATACAAATCATTCCTTCACTTTGAAGTACCTTAGTCCTGAAGTCATGAACTGCCTTACCTTGCTAAGTGAGTTTTGGCACCGTGCTAAGCGAGGCTAGTTTCTTAACCTTGAAGTTGCTTGGCAATGAAGTCTTATTTACTGCCTTTGCTCGTTAAGCAGGACTTTGTTCTTCACTTAGCAAGCTTTGCTTGTGGGAAGGTACTTTGTCAAGGTCTGCGTTACTTTGGTGTTTTCTTAGTCCTTTTTACTTGGTTTTAGTCCATGTGTATTTAAAATGTCCAAACAGGTTTTTTATCACTTGTCATTTATTAATTGTAGTTTTTTCATTTATTACTTGTAAAATAAGTTAATAAGTACACACATATTTACTTAATTTTTGCAGTTATTATCTCAGCCCAACTTATGTTTCAGAAAAATTCAAAATGCATATGTTTCATAATAAGTTAAATGACTTGAACAATAACTTTTGAAAAAGCATCATTTTATGATATGATTTTATTTTCAATGTAAGTTCACAATCAACATTATAAATATCCATAAACCATAGCATGAAGATGAAAAATTTGTTTTACCAAAGCAAGATTTCAAAACATTTCTAGATCAATATTCAATCAATCATTAGAATCATAGTCTCACTAATTATCTCTCAAAAAAATTTATGTTTCCCTTATTTTTGGACAATGCAAAAACTATAGAAACATTTTGCATTTCATTTAAGTAATATCACAAGAAACATAATTAGTCATAGATCACTAAGGTCTTTCTTTTGGTTGTAATGGTGTTGGGTTACAAAAACTATTGATTTTTCTTTGGATTCAAAAAATAAATAAATATAAGAGAGCAAAAAAAATTGATATATCACTTTGTTTTTCCAAAAGTCTCTTTATTATCTTCCACTTTACAAAATTTTCTTTTGGTGACTATTTTATTTGTATGCTTTGACATTTGATTATTTTTTTCTTTTTCTTTCATTCCGTTTTGTCAAAACATGTTCTTCTCTTTCTTTTCATCATTACTACTTGATTCTCTTTTTCAAAAAAATTTCTTTCTCTCCAACTTTATTGTTTGAAATACCCTTGCATTTTTAAATGCTCTCATATCCTTAAGACAAGATGGTGAAATTTTTTTATTTTAAAAATCGGCTAATGGTGGTAACTTTGAAAGAACAAAATTTTCACTTTATAGGCTCAAAGGGGTTGTCAAAGGATCACACACTCACAAGGTAGACTTTTTGGTCGAGTAATTTTTTACTCAATAACAAAGAATCCCTTGATCATATTCATGACTTCAAACATATCAAGTAATAGTAAGAATGATGGAAAATTCACATAGTTAGTATGCATGTTTACTCTCATTAATCATGTAAAATATGAATTTACATACATCTCACTTGGTAGACTTATATGAGTCTTGACTTACATTGACATGTTTTCACTAGTAAAATCAAACTTTTTGTAAGCAACTAGTTCATGGTCGTGCTATAATTCATAAATAATCAAAACATCAATCATGAATAAATCATTTAAAAGAATAAAACTTTTTTATCATGCCATTGTTCTTGACTTTTTTCATCAACCTAACTTTTGTGGCTCTTATGCATTTGACTTTTCGGATAAATTGAACCATATATATATATATATATATATATATATATATATATATATATATATATATATATATATATATATATATATATATATATATATATATATATATATATATATATATATATATATATATATATATATATATATATATATATATATATATATATATATATATATATATATATATATATATATATATATATATATATATATATATATATATATATATATATATATATATATATATATATATATATATATATATATATATATATATATATATATATATATATATATATATATATATATATATATATATATATATATATATATATATATA